ATTCCGATTGGTACTCCAAATCTATATGAAGTAACAAAAGAACAATTAATACTCTCAACTGATAATTTAAAGAAGACTCGAGTTAATCAAACAAAGAATAGGCCTGGCTGTCTCCTACAGCCAAAATCTGAACCATAGAGGAACCTATCGATGTCAAATGTCGCATCGAAACAATGGTGCGGACAGCGAATAGGCTGGACTAGAGCCTCTTGGTCGGCACCCTCGCAAAAAGCTGTTGACGTTGACATCGGCTGACAAGTGCAATAGCAATAGCAATAGAAACAACAACATGGGGCCATTATTTCTACCGTTATCTCGTGCAACCCTTTTGGGCCGTTGAAGGTACAGCTTGATGCTACAAGGCAGTAGAAGCAATTGGCAAGCATTCCTTGAGCGGCTTGTGCTACTGACACATAAGCTTGTTTAAGCCTGGAATTTGCATATTACATTATTGGCTGAGTGGCCCAATTGCTATGGATGCCAGTCGCCTGCTCCAAACGTACTTCTCTTGGCTCTCTATTCGAGTCTCATCCTTGAAATGCTTTATGGTCACTTTATAAATGTAACGTGTGGATTAATCTAGTGCCCACACACACAATAAATCTGTGTAGTTGTAAATAGAGATGGGATAGTGAGTATCAACAAATTCGAAAAGTTAAAAGTTCCAATTTGTTATTGATATGAAGGACCAAAACATTTGGCTTCACCATTCATTAAATTTTAATAAAAATATAAGAAATAAGGGAGTGAAAAAATGAATAAAACTATATAAAGTCAAAACAAACTTCAAACTTTTTTAATATAACAGATTTGATCTCGTTCCTAAATGCTCACAACCGATGTGGTGCTGTGCGAACTTTCAATAATATTGTAACATGCAGAAATAAGCGTGGCAGTCGCTCCAACCATTAAATGCACATATATTTTCGAATATATATCCGTTAATTCGTCGGACTGTTCATCTATAAGAATAGGAGCAAATTTTATAATAGTTTGGTTTTGAAAAGGGCGGACAACATTTAAGAAGTTTAGAAGACGCTTCGTACATAGATATTTTTTGTAAATGATCGAAAAACTTGCCCGGATTGGTGAGAACTGCTACTTAAGGCCTATTCTCAACATCGTAAAACGATCATTCATATTCTTAAATGTACGTCTATCACGTTTCCATCATTATGTTGGCTGCATGGCCAACAGTTGAACTGCAAACATGCAAACACTTGCCGTGTGCTTATGCGGCATAAGTTGCGCATACGCCATGTTGACCCGTTGTTGTTGTTGCTACTGCTGGTGCTGAAGCTGATGTCGGGCTGTGTGCCACTTATTGAATATCCAGGAATAGTAGGTGAAGGGTGTGCGAGAGCCCAAGCATAGGCACAAACACAACTGACATGTTGATATGTGCCACACACACACACACACAAACCTAAACACCTGTGCAGTGCGCCACACACAAATAAAATAAACTGCAAATGCATTTGAATATGTGGGCGTGTTTGCCAGCTTCTCTGCTCCAGTTATGTATAATAGGGCCTATCTCACAAGTGGCCACTCGGCTGCTCGGATGCTCGACTAGGCGTTGATAAAGCTGTTCTAACTGGATTAGAACATGTCCAGTTGCCGCTGCTGCTGGTTTTATTTGCTTGACCGACATGCGGTCACTAATGCACTCCGGCATCCATCGACTCTAAATAAAATAAGCTTCATTGACCTTTAGCAATGGACTTTTCCAAAATCAACTCAGGATCAGAAGCATCTACAGGAAATTAATGACCCATACACAGAATATTTTTTTAGCTTCAAGCTATGATGGAGAAATTATGGAAATTATGCTAACATTATTAACAGGCATTACTCGTATACAGGTCAACAGAAGCTGACACAGCAGTGCCTCCAAAGGCGGGTGTGGTTCTCCGGCAACAAATCTACACAGGTCAGCAGAAGCTGGCTCAGCAGTTCCTCCACACGTATGTGGCTCTCTACCAAGTGGGCGGGACTCAGCGGTACTTCTACTGAAGGGCGATTGGCCTACTAGGTATATCATAATAAATACAAAGAAAAGAGCTTTGTAGAATAAGTTATACAGGTACATAAGTATTTTGTTAAACAACTTTATTATTTGTGCAAACATTGTTCAGTGAAGGGGCTGCCGCGTGTTTTAAACTTTTAATCTTTGCAGCATTTTCGGACAGGAAAGCAGCTATCTTCCTTCTACAATTCGTTGATCAGAAAGAAACAATATTAGTAATAAACGTTATGGAATGCATTTATTATTAATACTATTATACTTAAAAATTTACATGACAGCCACACTTTAGCATAATAATATTTCGAGTATATAAGTATAAGTATTTAGTTGGTCACTGTACTTGACACTGTACTGGCCGCTCGACTCAACAATCTTTTAGCAATTTTTTCCTGGGCACATGTTCACAGCTCAAAGCATATTATATACTTGTATCATATATACTTTTGTAAAAAATGCAAGTATGTGAAATGGCTGGTTCTGGACCAAGTTAGATAAAAGCTCAAAACCATTAAGACACAGTACACAGTACCCCATGCTGTGGTTTAAGAGTATTTCAAGGCATAAATAAATTGTTTGCCTCCAACATTTAATGAGCCAATGCCTCGAAAATGTACAAAACTGCAGTATTTCGAAAAAAAATTAATGCTTTAGAAATAATTTTACTAATTTTGTAGAAATATTTATTTAATTTCCAACGCAAAGAACACTTGTCTCTAGAAAGAAACTTTCTTAAAAGTATGGCTAGCTCTGATTTCAGTTGCATTGTTAGGGCCGATTTTCTTAATTTTAAGGAGATTTTGGACATATTTTTCTGAGTGTTTTTGTTTGTTTTATTTTGTTCCACATTTACAACATAAAACTTTTTGAGCGCATCAAAATCAATTGATCGTTCTCAATAGCAGGCTTAGCTGGCGCGATTACGTTGGTACGCATACTGTTTCTAATTCTTTTACAAATTGTCAAAGTACTTTTTCATGCATATACTAGTTATGTATAATGGTCCATCGCACATTCCGGTACACCCAAATGCCAACCTTTTGCACAGCCCAAACGGCTTGTGCGAATGAAAAAATGCAATTACTGGCATTTCAATTTTACCTGCTACTGCAGGGGCTTTGAATATCGTCTGGGGTGCGTAGCGGTATTCGAATCCGATATTTAATTGATTGCGTGCTGATTATGCATAGGTATGCATGGCTATCTGACTGCTGCTGGCATTTTGAATATACTATACCTTGTGCAAATGGAAAAACTTGTTAAGAGTAGTCTTCAATAAAAAATTTCATAACCCATAATTAGAGCGAAGGACCAAAAAACAATTAAATTAATTATATAGGTCTTAGTTTTTGTTTGTTGAGCAAAGGACAGAAACAAGTTAAAAAGTCAAGGAATTGAAATATAAACAAAATGCACAATTAAGACAATTAAAAAGAATTACAATATTGTGAAACAAAAATCAGGTGTAAGACATGGAGTGTGAGTGCACGGCAGATAGAGGAAGTCAATAAGTTAGGCAGGCAAGGCAGTAAAAGCGACAACAAAAGAAAATGTACACTGGACATTGGTTTGAATATTAAAAACTTTTGTATTTCTCTTGTACTTGCGGTACGTTTCTCCACATCGTGTAATTTTTTACTTTATCATCTGTAGCTTTTGTTTTTGTCTTCACATTTAGCAGCTTGTTGTTTGCAGGCTTCACTTTTACTTTTGGCGAAATGAATTTATTAATGAGGACCTTACCAGGCAACTGTTGTGGGACCTCATTTATTAAGACTACCGGTATCTATTGACGCCTCTGGCCACCCTTGTCTGTGAGTTGGGACATAGCTGGCCGAAAGGCCAATAATATTTCTGAGTAGAAGGCGTTTATGGGATATTATTGTTATTGGATTAGATTTCTTGTACTTTGGCTTTCTTAGCTTATAAGGCTTTTTTATAACTTTCATATTGTTTTCCCATGCCGACAGTCAGTTTGTTGACATAAAAATATAGTAATTAAATAAAGAAATAAAATTATCGTGTGAAGCTAAAGCCGGATTCGGGGAAGTAATACAAATATTTTACCAAATCGTCAATTAATATTTTGTTTGACCTTATTTTCTGCAGTAAATTTTTTTCAAGCACTTTTATTTATTTATTTATAAATATGAAGGGAAATTAAAGTTATTTCAATAAATAACTACTGATTTGTTATTGCAGTTGTTCAGAAAACCATGCATATTCTTCAGTTTGACAAAACTGTTTTCGGAAGATACGGCCACAGAATTTATGAAAACGAAATCAGCTGCGTAATTAAACATTTTTTATATTTGTGCAGAAAATATGTTTATTACATAAATTAACAAAATATAGTGGAGAGCATTTAACAAAAATACCGAACTGTAATAAGTAATTTTAATGAGAGTTATAGCTAGAATAAATAAAGCAAACATGAATATTGATATAAAATGAAAAGCCGAAGCTTCTTTAAACATACTAATTATCTTTCCTAGTTTTATTTATAATGAAAAAAGAAAAACGCAGTAGTATATCTACATTTTGGATTAAAGTTAATCTTTAATACTTTCTCCATTTCATTTTAATTTGGGACCCAATGTGCAACGGAAAGCTGTGTGTTGCAACCGAGAAAGTAATCAGTAAAACAATTAAAACTTTTTAAACTAAAGTCAAAAACACGCAGCAAAACAAAACTTGCCAAGACGCCCACAGCTCTAAATAATCAAATCCACTCCTATATCGCTGCCCCCTTCCCCTTCCCCTTTGCTCGCCCGCCAATTAGCTGCATGACCACCAGCTCAGCCGTCCATCAATGTGCACTTATAAAGAGCTCAGAAAACGTAGCCGCAAGCAGACAGTTGACCGCAGTAGTCACCATCAGTAGCAGTAGCAGCAGAAGTAAGCCACATCAGTAATCGACTTTGCATTTGACATTTGCCGGCGGAGGCTCAAGTGTGAAGACCATCAATAAACAATGCCCTCATCGGCCTTAGCGCGGGGCTTCTACCACATACCCTCTCTTCCAGGCCACGTTGTGGGCATCTGGCCTCAGGAACGACGTGCCTTCTATGTGAATCTGGTCTTCGGCTTCAGCTTCTTCGTGGTGCTGATGGGCGCCGTGGGCGAGAATCTGTACGGAGTGCTCTATATAAGCAATCTGGTGACCGCACTGGAGGCCTTCTGCCCGGGTACCACCAAAGCCGTTTGCGTGCTGAAGATGACAATCTTCTTTGTCCATAATCGGGAATGGCATTCGCTGGTACAGCGTCTCAGGAAAATGATGTGGGCAGCGGGTGAGCAGTAAACTTTCTGGGCTAATGGAGTAATATTAGAATAATGAGGCATAAACATATATAGATGATGCAGCTGATCAGCATATGCTGGCACAGCTCTCGAAAACAGCCAATAAATTGGCGCTGTTGCTGCTCGTATCCGGCAGTCTAACCAACACGGCCTTCAATCTCCAACCTTTGGTAATGCATGCCTACAGGCGTTGGTACGGGCTGCCCAGAAATGTGGATTTGCCTTTCAACATTATGTAAGTGGAAGCATTGACACTCTGATATTTGGGAGGGAAAATAATTCATTTTGCAATTGTAAGTCCGAATTTGAAGATACATTTAAATCAAGCAAATTGTCTTTTTATCGGTTGAAACTTAAATACAATTTTGATCTTTTTAAAGCCTCTACTGAACAAATATAGGGTATGTTGTTTTTAGTGATTGAGTAAGCAACAATTGTAAACCACATATTATAGGTACATTCACTACACAATCATTATCTGCTTGCTTCAATGGCTATCCCAGGCAGGCTGAGAGCTATCGGGTTGAAACTTGAAGGCGACTTGCCTCTGAAATTTTGAAACCGCCCATGGCAGAGAATCCCATGATATCAGCTGATAAATATGCGAAATGACAGTACTAATTTTTTTAGCGATATTAAAATCAAATATTGAGAATGTTGTCATATACTCTTAAAAAATGCTTTCAATTTTAATGGAATTTTGCGTAGGGTGTAAATGTAAATTTAAAAAATTTTCGGCAGTTTAATTTATTCGTTCCGGATATATTGGTACATATTTCTCGCATTAGCTATAGTACATACATAGTACAAATACCATGAATTGTAGTCCATGTGATCACGAAATCACCACCAAACCATTTACACTAATATTACAGCTAATTGACTCTGTAAAGTATTCAACAGTATTACTTTCAAATTGCTTGAAGATTGCTCGTCTAACGTTTATTTAGAACCGCAAAATCTGCACTTAGAAATAAAAGTCAATTAAGTGAATTTAAATGGAATTCGTATAAAATAGTTTTGAAAGAAGACCTAAAGCTATAGAGTCGATATATATACATACATACCTCTAGACAAGCCGTTTAATGAGTTTTTATTCTATGTTACTTATGTGCATTAAATACATTTGTAAAATTTGAAATCTACTTATAAATTCGAGAAGATAAAAACTGAGTAGAAAAGATAATACCAAAGCGCGTAACACTTCAGTCAATTTCTAATTCAAGAGGGATGTATATTTATTTGTATGTATATTTGTATACCCGTATATATTATATATACTGTACATACTGTGAAAGTAAATTTAGAGAGCTTGCTTTCTACGAAAGCATAAAAAATACCTTCCTTTAAAAGTAATAATATAATATATATAATAATATAATATAATAACAAAATCCAAAGTTACGCAAATTTTACTTAAATAGATTACTGCAGCTAAACGATAACAACTCAATGGCAGTTTGTTTTTGTATGAACAATAATAAATAAATAAAATAATATAAGAATACAATATACAAATAAATTGTACATATATTTTCTATCAAAATCCCATGATGATCTGTTCATGAATCCGTCAAACTAAAGCCAACCAGCTACAAATTTTTACCCACTTCTGCTTCACAGATTGCCCGACTTTTCCACAAAGCAGCCGATGTTTCCTTTCACATATGCGCTACTCACGTCCTCGGGCTTCTGTACTGTGTGTGTATTCAGCAGCGTCGATGGATTCTTTTTGTGTAGCTACCTGTACATCTGTGGAGTGTTCCGACTGGTGCAGCACAACATCAGGAGTATATTTGTTGGGCTGCACGATGGTGAGTCTAGTGGTGCCAAGTCTGTCCAACACTTGCCAAACTTTCTTTAATTTCATGACCATTATCTCAACTGTAAAGTTGAATTCTATTCGCCGTCGGTGAATGCCCTGATTCAGGGGAGACTTAAAGTTATTATTGAGCGCCACAATGCGATTATCGATTTGTGCACGGACCTGACGCGTCAATTTACCGTTATCGTTTTAATGCATTTCCTGTCGGCAGCCTTCGTTTTGTGTACTACAATTTTGGATATCATGTTGGTGAGTTTGTTCATCTATCCATAGTATGTGAGTCCGTGTCTGCGGATTGGTTTGTTTGCTCGCTTTGGTAGAAATGTATAAGCACATGCATAAATACGCGCTGCCAAAAGTTTTTAAATTTATCTTTCATATGTTTAATGGTTATAGTCGTGGTCTTTAAGCTTGCCAGTTTCGAGATAGTCTGCTGTATATGTACGTATGTCCGGGATTTGTACAAGTATGCTCAACATTTAATAGAAGGACTCTGAATTCTATAGCAGGACTCTTAAGCTTAAAATTCTGTAAATAGTAGATGATTCAACAATGTATCTGTATCTTTATCAAAAGTAACTCAAATAGTTCGTGTAAACATATATAAGTCGGGAAAGGAATCTTCGTCATGCAATTCAATCTTCAATGCTGTACGTATTATCTCAAGCTGAATGGTCGGGAAACGTTTTAACAATCTGATATAAAATTTAATTTTTAATACGCACATCATACGGATTGATTGAATTTATTGATTTTCGCGATAATTTTGAGGTTTTGAACGGCCGCATACAATAGTGAAGAGACCAAAAACCGCTTGGGATGCTCTTAAAAATAGCATAAAGCAATAGTTCTATTTATCTCAGTATAATTGATATTTGTGCAAAATTGGTTTTTGATATTACCGATATTTTAATAGAGATATACTTGTATATGTTTTGTGTACACAAATTTTATCCCTTATGCTTTGTGATGTTTTGTCATACATTTGTTTTTTATCAGCGCTTAATCTATAGTACCGTTACAATTAAGAAGAATACCAAGTCACGAGTTTCATAGAAAATTTATATTTGTGCAATTTTTCCTTTTACATTTTAAGTGTGAGACACATAGTGTATTAACTCCGGAAAAAAAATTTAATTGTCTAGCAGAATTATTGGAGGCTTCTTAAAAGCAGTATCGTTGTGTTTTGGCGAACTTAAAATTATTAATAACTTACAATGCCCCGCGGAAACGAATTAAACACAGAAAATGAAATAAAAATCATAGCTATGGCTGATTGTAACATTAAAGTCGGTGTTATTGTTAAAGCACTAAGCAAACATCGGAAAAACGTCTCAAACTTTTAATAATTTCCGAAAAAATATGCTCAAAACCATCGGAAAGGGGGTGTTCCCATAGGTGGGGACCGTACTAAAAGGCATGAATGAGCTGCGCCCAAGTCAGGGCAGAATTAAAGATGCCAATAACTGGGCTTAAGTTGAAACATATGGGTCATCCTATTGGAGACTCCATATGACCCCAAGATGCATAAACCAAAGCTATTGCACCGACATAAAATGGTCCGTCTTGCATTTTACGAAAAATAAAATGTTTGGGACAGGGAATTTAAAACGGTCAACTTCAGTAATGAAAAATGTTTAATTTAGATGGCCAAGATAGAAACCAAAAGTATGGGAGCAACTCAAGTGATCCCCGACAGATTTGCAACCATAGTGGAGGCTCACTCATGATATGGGCAGCTTTTAGCTCCTTTGGAAAGGTACCAATATGCTTTATAGCAGGCTGAATGCGCAAATGTATACGGTTCTCCTGGGCAGCGAACTATACCATTTCCAAAAGATTTCCATGGAGAGAATTAGAAATTTCAGCAGGATAACGCTCCAATACATGTTGCACGATTGGCATGACATTTTTCGAGACAAGAAATATTCCCTTAATGCAGTGTGCTGCAATAAGTCCGGATTCAAATTCAATTGAGGACCTTTAGGGCATCCTATCAGGCAAAGTTTATAGGTGTGGAAAACAATTTGACCTTTAAAAAATGAAAGAGAGGCCATTGTCTAGGAATGGCCAAGAATGGACAAATTCGTTCTTCAAAAGTTGGTCAATCCATGTCCTGATGGTTGCAATTGGTCAAATAAAAATAGGGAAACACTATATCCTACTAAAATCATAAGTAAATTCTATTCAAAATGTGAATAATAATTAAAATGTGAATGTGAATATCAACTTTCTATGAAAATTTTGTTTATGACCTCTTGTACAAGCTAATGTTTTCCTTAAATAATTTAGTAGCTTGTTGGACACACAGTATTGAGTCAGCCTAAAGCGAAAACGTCTGTGCACAGTCGAACATTCCAACAAATTTTCTCTGGCATGCTAGTAAGCCTGGCTAATTCTCGGATAGGCTTTTTGAATATATGACACACCAACTGGCAATAGGGATTTTTACATAAAAACGAGGTAGCAAGGTACGCTTCATCGAATGAAAGATGCAATTGACTGGTGAACTGATTGCCATACGGAACATCTGGGACAGTAAAAATATTGCCAGGCTTATTCTTTAATAACATTGACTCATTATTCTTAACGTAATGCTTTTAATGGACTCTTTATGCATGTTTACAGACATGTTCTAAATTTAAAATAAAAAACGTTCGTTATATGATTGGCTCCGGTTGTTTATAAAATAGAGTAAAGCAGAGGAATACACAAATAATATATAAATCAGAAAAGTTTTGAAGGCCACCAAGCGTTGTGGACATTTCCTGCTGCGATTGTTATTCCTATATTAAACATGAATTCCAAACATATTTTGCAATGTAAGCAGTTATGTGGACATAAAATGAGGATGACATACAAACAAATATCAAACTGAATGCCGTCTAATGCATGTGATGCAGATGCAATAACAATTTCAGAAATTAATAAACAGCAGATTAATGACCGCCTATCCTCAGCTGGTCTTCGCCAGTCAGGTGTGAAATAGTAACATCAAAACGCAATTCGAATACAGCTCATCATCATATAGGAGCATGTTTTACTTTGAAAAGTTACTAGCAGTTTTAAGCTGCCACAAACATTATTTTGGAAATTAGTAACTTACAGTACTTTTCTTGTGATTTTAGGAATCGAAATAATGCCTGATTATACACATAGTTTATTTATCAATCAACTTATCGATCTTCAATAAGAAACTTTTCGAAGAGGTACATATTAACAAAAGTAAGACCTTCTTTCTAAGAAAATGGCTAGAATTTGTCGATAGTTCAAATGGAATGGTAAGTCTATCAAAAGGGGCTTAAGCAAAAACGAGTCTAAGTACTTGAGGTGTGTTTTCTCGAACTTATTTGTGAAGTTAACCCTGATAATTATACATTTTTGAAGTATAGAATTGCTATACATGTATGTGTTTGTGTGCCTCTAGTCAGGCGTCTTAGAATAGGACCTTTTATGAATTCCCTTAGCCACGAGACACCTGCACTGCATTGTTCGCCCCAACACTAATTCATCGTTAGGAAAACTATTTAAAATTTATTTTAAAGTTCAAATCCCTACTTCAGAAATATGTAGATACTTTTCAAGTTAAGTAATGACTTTGAGAAGAACACGCTTTTCTGTAAGGTAATTTATGCAACCAATACTTGTATTATTTTCCTAGAAAACTAATTCTCTATCCCGTTTCTGTCCTTGCAGAACAGCGCCTCCTTGAGCGGCTTAACCTACATCTGCTATAGCGTCGCCGCCTTGACGCAACTCTTTATCTATTGCTATGGCGGCAATCATGTCAGCGAGAGTGTTAGTAATCCTCTCGCACAGCAACAAAAGCAAAAACAAAAGCAGAAACAAGAAACACTTGAGTATTTCCAGCAGCAGCACAATTTCTGTTTTTTTTTGCTGTTTGTTTGTTTTTCTTTCCTGCTTGTAATTTCAATTTTGCCGCTAACATTAAGCAGAGCTGAGAGCGAAACATAAAAAATTATGCGCCATACACAAATTGCACTTGTGATAAAATTTTAATTACACAACAAAATGAAGCCACCCTCCCCTCCCCCCACCTCTCTTCCCATTTCTTCTCATTTCTTCTCATTTCTCCCGCAGAGCGCGGCTGTGGCGGACACGTTGTACGACATTGAGTGGTATAAATGCGATGTGAAGACTAGAAAAATGATTTTAATGATATTGCGGCGTGCGCAACGCGCAAAAACAATTGCGGTCCCGTTTTTTACACCATCGCTGCCGGCCTTCAGTTCGGTATGTAACAGAGATGATGATGATGGCGATATAACTACCGCACAGTGGGCCAACCTAACTACTTAAGTGGTCAACATTATACAATACGCGGTGGTGCCAGGGCCGGCCTTTTTAAACTCCAAATGATATTATGATACAAATGATCGTAGAGTAGTCGTGATACAGCCATAAGATATCTCGCTTTAGCCATATTTCTAGCCGACAGACCTATTTTCTAAAACAAATGAGAGCTTCTCAGTTTCAGATTCAGAAAATCCAATAGAAGGGATTTGACCTTTATGCAGCAGACAGGACATCAAAAGTATGAGCTGGAACTCTGCTCTATTCTTAATTTAAAATTTGTTTCACTGGCAAATAATAAGGTTAATAAGGCTGATGTTTTTCTGGTGTTCCCACCCGGTTAATGCTGGCGAATTGACATTAATTGTACAGCTGCGTAATGAACTATATCTTTTGCTGTAATATTACGTATAAGTTGCTTTTAGATTGTACGTTTGGAACAAATAATGAAGCATCTTAGCATTCGTCTGTCTGTTTCAATCACTGCTTCTTCTTCCTGATATATGTATATATTTTTATAAGGTTTCCATTTCCGTCACCTGGCTACAAAGTCATTTATGAGCGAGCCGGACAGTAAAGAGCCAAACAAAATATGGTGTTCGCATTACTATAACCTTGTAAACAAAGGATGCAAAAAGGAGAAGAGCGAATGCACTGATTTGTTTGCAGTGGGCACAAGACGGCATAGGATTGTTTTACTAATAACTTTCCCTAAAATAGGCCGAATTGCAATTGTTAACAGAATCGATATACAAGTATGTACCAATTTCTGACTCTGTGGGATTAGCCAATTCCAAAGTTCGTACGCTTATTCAGAACAACGAAGGAACGGTTAGACGGACGACTACATTTGCATAATTTATTATATAATATATATATACATATATCATTTCATTCATAGCCTTTTGGTTAAAGGGTTCGTGGTAACTGGATTATTTGTTTTCAATAAATTATTTTTAAGTGCTATCATTATCGATATGTCGTCAGAAAGCGGCGTAGAAAAAAGAATAAAATCATTTGAAGTTGAAGACTTATTGAAACTTAGAAGCAGCTATGAATATTCAAATCTCGTAAAAAGTGTTTGCCTTTTAAGCGCGTCTGTTGGCCCACTGTACTAGTATGTTGGTGCTTGGTGTGGTTACCAGGGAGGGCCTCCTTGATTATGCTAATAAATGTTTATTTTTCATTTTGTGTTTGTGGATGTGTGTGTTTGCTTTGTTGCACTCATTGCAGATACTCAGCACAACTGGCTCATATATCACGCTGCTGAAGACATTCCTGTAAGCCGACAAATGTTTGCCAACGCGTCGTATGATTGATATGCCGGATTGTCACTGCCACCATTCGCATTTGGCATGTGTCTTGCAATTTGTATTTGCCACTTGTCAGTTGTCAGTCCTGCTGCTTATTTAAATTAAAAAGCGAGTGTTAGAAAACAAAGAAACAATGAAAATAAAAATAAATGCACAGAGCAACCATTAAAACGCATTTGCCTCATTTCGTCCTTGAGTTATGGCTGCGCCGCGCAACAAGTTCGGCCAGCCAGTCCGTTTCTCCGTCTGCACGGCAATTATTGTATTTAAATTTTTCGACCTGCTGCCCGCTCTAGCTAATGCAGAACACGTGCTATAGCCACATTAATTGGGTCTGCACCAACGAGCTCAGAGTCCCGGGCTACTCCTTGTTCCGTTTTAAGGCGCCATCTTGTGCCTCGTAGAAATTGTGCGGTTGTTATTTTTAATCTCGCTCCGTTGCTGTTTGTTGTGAAATATCAATTAAATCGCGTCACCGTATGGCCGAGACATTTATTGAAATTAGTGGGCCAAGAGCATGCTTTCCAACTTTTGTTTAGAAACATGTGCGAGCCATGCTTTAGGAGAGAACTTGCGGCTCAACTCGAAAAAATTGAGGAGATGGAAGACGAAAAATGTTAGTAAGCAAATGTCTGATTCGAAAAACAAGAAAGGAATGCTAAAGTCGAGCAGGCTCAACTCTTAAATACCCTGTACCGCCCCACAAAAAAGTAATTAAATTAATTAATTAATTTAATGAAATTAATTAACTAAATTAATTTAATTAATTAACTAAATATTAACTAATTAAATATAAAATATTCCATGCATGCATACATACATTTACATTTACATCAGAATCGTGCCTTATGCGTATTTGTGTACTTGTACATATGTATGTATGTGTGCATTGGACCTGGTTATATGGCTATAACTTTCTTTCCGATCATTTTATCATAATGAAACTTGGTATACGGATATATATAATTACTAACCTAATGTGACTACCAAATTTTAGTTCAAAATTCCAAGAATTACGGGAGTTATAGAAAATCGTTAATAGGGGGGGAGTGGGGGGGTGGATCAGAAAAAATGAACAAACTCGTCCTTTCTCGGTCTCAGGAGAATCTGTATACCAAGTTTGGTTATTCTAGCTCTTATACTTTCGGAGATCCTTGCGTTCATACAGACAGACAGACGGACAGACAGACGGACAGACGGACAGACGGACATGGCTATATCGACTCGGCTTGTCATGCTGATCAAGAATATATATACTTTGTGGGGTCTACCAAGCCTCCTTCTGTGTGTTCCATGTGCACTCGTACTAAACTAATATACCCTTGTACCCTTTGGGTACAGGTTATAATAAAATAGATTAAAACCAAAATTTACTTGGCATCGTTTCACTTTTTATGTACTTACTATTTAAATTTAAGTCAATATTATTACTGTACAAATGTTTACAATAATTATAGAAAAAAAAAAATTAAGAAAATTAAAAAAAAAATTTTTGATCGATTTTACCTTCAATCAAACAGCAACATCAACAACAGCTGCGCCCAGCGCTAGAGCAGCGCTGCAGCTGCAAATATATTTATGGCTATAACTTCTTGGTAAATCGGTCTATCATAGTATAACTTGGCATACGGACACATAATAACGAACTGGGGGTATTTGGAAAATTTGACTTCGAAATTCCAAGAATTACGGGAGTTAGAGAAAATCGCGATTTGCTTCTGCGTATTCACATAAAGCATACGGACATTGGTGACCGTAGGCCTTATAGTCTCCGAGATATAGGTGATTATACGAATGTAAAATCGGGAAAACCCCCATACGGGGAAGTGGGGGGAAAATCAAAAAAAAAAAATAAAACAAACTTGTACAGCGTACACAAATAAGGCATCTTTGTGAAAAATTTGGTGTCTCTATCTCTTATAGTCTCTGAGATCCAGGTGTTCATACGGACGGGCAGACGGACAGACAGACAGACAGGGCTACATCGACTCGGTCTGCCTGTTACATACATTCGCACAAAACTAGAATAGCCTTTCACCCTTTGGGTACAGGCTATAAAAATATTTATCACATACATACATAGATACAAAAGTGAAGATGCATCAAAGAAGAAACTGCAGGGGAGTGGAGGGTGTATCTGAAAAAACTAAACAAACTTGATCTGCTTAGGGCTTAGGAGAACGTGAATACCAAGTTTGGTTATTCTAGCCCTTATACTTTCTGAGATCATTGCGTTCATACGGACAGACAGAAGGACAGACGGACGGACAGACAGACTGACATGGCTATATCTACTCGTCTTCTCATACTGATCAATAACATAAACACTTTGTGTGCCACGCCGCCTTCTGTGTGTTACATACATTCGCACGAAACTAGTATTAATACCACTTTACCCTTTGGGTACAGGGCATAATTAACACTGTTGCAACAAATCTTACAATTGCGAAGAGCCACTATAAAAAACTTATGCTAAGTACTTATAAGTATTTCCTCGGGATATTTTCCGGTACAAAATAGTTAACCTACTACTTATAAGTATTTTTCCCCACCAAATTATACTCTATAGTTTGGGATTGAGTAAGGCGCAGATGGACATGTACATGGATATGTAACAAAAATATGGGCTCTGCCATGCCTTGTTCGGTTTGTAATATATATCCTCTGTTCATCGGTTCTTTAATAGTGAAAGTGTTCTTTTGAAATTCATTCCACCTTCTCCCCGCATTTTTGAGGACCTTAGCAGGCAGCTGTGTTACGACCAAGCCTCGTTTTTCCACATTTATCGGAGCCTCTCTTCTTGGTCTCATTAAAACCATGCGCACTCTCATCTGCAGCATTGCGGCAATAATTAATACAATACCATTAGATTCCATTTAAGACAAGAACGGCATGCTTTGCCACGACTCAACATTTCATTCTGTTCTTTCCTCGAGAAGTTATATAACAACCATTAAAAAAAGGAAAACCAATACTACTTACTGTTTTGTACAACTAAGAATAGAATAGACTCTCTAACCACGAAACTTCTTTTAAGTTTTGTTTTTTGCATTGTTAGGCAGAGTGGATATGTGTTATACAAGTAGTTAGTTGACCTGTGACTTAATTGGGCAAGATTGAAACAAATCAGGGTTCGTGCATCATTTTCGGAGATACAGATGTATCCAACGATCTTCTCGACCATCTGCATTTATGCGCTGGATTTGGGGCTTCTTTTCAGCAGTTTATTGTCCTATGATTGCCTTGATGCATCAGTTCTTGAAGCTATATGCATCAATTTCATGGGCTCCACGTTCAAGCGCACCGACTTATGAAAGTACACCTAAAGTTTCGCACCGTAGACTCTTTACTGTATAACTAGGCCACTCCCAGGTGCTAGCTCGACTTGGGAAAAAACAGCCCACACTATCCTAAATCATCACCACTGGCGATAACTTCTAACTGTGGTGTTGTACTTTTCTTTGGTTCTGCGATTTGTAGATATTTCGATTCCTTCTCTGCGTTCTCGTTAGGCCATGATTTAGCTCTTGTAGAATTAAACCCACAAGTGAGAACAAGAGCTGTATGGTGTGCCTTCCTAACGCACTGCGCTTGCATCGAGCGCCTGCGACAATTTTCTGTAAAAATAATAAGTAGCAGTAGCTCCACACTTCTAAAAGATGCACTTAAATAACTACTCGCATAGCAGACCACCGCGAGAGCATTATCAAATGCAGCAACCTGTTGTGATAAAAAAAAAACACCTTACAATGACTCTTTTGAAATGAAATCATTCTATAACCTCTTCTGATCTGATGCTGTTGGTGTTCTTATATGAAAGAAACATCTGTGAAATGTTCAATAAAACGTATTATTTGTAGTTTGCCAGTCTTTTTTGAAACATAGACTCCAAAAGTAGTTATCCTTTACTTTTCAGTGAAGGGTATGAAAGGAAGCATTTTGGCAGAAAAAAATGTTAATTCACATTTCATTCATGCTTACTGGTACTTAGCCGCATCCTTGCCCATCAAATTTAATTGCTAATTTAATTTAAATACCGCTTAACACCATTTAAGTTCGGGCGTTTTATAGTTATTTATTGTTATTGAAAGAATGCATGTATTTACTCGTATTTATAATCATTTTATCATCATCACATAAATTATCTAAAACCTGCTTAATTATTTAGTAAATTCATGCCTACACATATTATTTACTAGCACGTGCATATTAATTTGCAAAATTACACTTGGCACCTTTTCTATTAGTTAGTTGTACCAACTGTAGTTTTGCACATAAATGCATTTTTTAAGATTATTCTTAGTTCGTCATAATATTTATTACGATGATGTCTCGCTCTCGTTTGACATTTATATGCATGTAAGGTGCCTATGTGCTCTGTGTGTGTGTGTGTGTGCGTGTGTGTGAGTTATTTAAATATAATACATTGCAAATTAGTGTAAGTTGTGTATATGTATGTATGTGTGTGTATCCGTTTGTCGCCTGAAGCGTCGACACTAAAAACATTGCCATGAAATTATTATAAAGTTCCCTGTCAGAAGGTGTGGGACTGTGCGGGTGAGTGTGAGTGTGTGAGTGTGTGTGAGTGTGTGGGAGTGTGTGTGATTGCGGCTTTTGTTTTACACCAAAGTGGGCGCAATAATGAAATAAAACACACATGCCCGTGTTTCCGTCTCTGCCCTCCGCCTCTTCGGCTGCCGGCTCCGCAACCTTGTGGTATTTACAAAGAGTGCTGTCGACTGCGTCGTGTGCAGACACAGACCTCGCCGTCTTCGTCATCATCGTCATCATCGTCGTCATCGTCATCATCGTCGTCATCGTCATTGGCGACGCCTGCCACTGATGTCTGCGGCTCATTTGTAGTCCGCTTTCCATTTCTTTCATGCGCGCTTTTACTTTTACTTTCACATTTCTTTTGCTTATGAACAAGACACACAGTCATGAAACAAAAAAAATATATATTAATGTGCTCTCTCTCTCTTTGTTTTGCACAGTGAAATGTAAATATTAAAAGGAACACATTATACTTGAAAGGACAAATGGCAACAGAGGCAAGGACGACGACAATGTTGTTGGTGTTTTCCCCCTTTTGCAGTTTCTAAAAAACATAAAAAAGGGGGCATGTGTGCGTGCCTGCATCGCCAGTACAAGAACATTGTTAATAATGACGACGACAGCGACGAGGACGACGATGCTTCCTTAACAGATGCCATCTCACTGAGAACCGCAACTTTCAGTTTTAGCAGCTGCTAGTTAATATGGTGCCGGTTGTTGTTGTAGCTGTAGTTGTAGTAGAGGTCCCAAAATGCAAACGAGTCCTCGACTTAGAGCCGATGTCAAGGCAAATAAAGCGACCGCGGCGCTTTTTTGCATGGCCGCCGGATTCTCATCTGGAAAGAGTCAGAGGAAGGATGAGAGGGTGAGACCAAGCCGAGCACATGTGTGTGTGTTTGTCAAAAGCGGCCACATTTAAATTAGCAGCAAAGCGTTCTTACACCCACACTTACACCCATCCACGTAGCCATTACCTTCGCAAACAAGTTAATTTAATTGTGCGACCCCAACACATACACGAACACCCACACCCTCACACAGCTATGATGTTGTATTTGCCTTAGTAGATAAATGACATATGTGTGCTCCTGCTTTTATTTCGTCCTTGCGTTGCGTCTCGCTGCCTTGTGCTTTGTTTGGCATAGTAAAATAAAATGTTGGCTGCTGCGTATACGCAATATTTTTGTTTGCGAGCGCATCATTTATCAATTCCCTGTCCCGTTTTTGTCGTCCAATCTTAATTCTTCACTATACCATCGCCCACATAGAGGCCTATTTAAAACCCATGTGTGTTGGCTTTCCTTCGCAATTTTAGTTAAATTTTTATTGTTTTTGATTTATTATCTGTGTTTATGCACACATTTAGGTATGTGCGAGTATGTGTGTCTGTTTGCATTAAACAGGGCTGCAAAATGTAGGATTTTGGTTCAATAGCCAGATTCTCAGCTGTACATTTATTAGGCGGGAGTTGTGAGCTAGTTCGCAAACTTCTTAGAGCCTGCAGTTATTTAATTTATATTTCCTATTCTGTGGCGAAGCCAATGAGCTACATTTTATCAAGAAATTTATTGTTTTCGATGCTTGAAATTCAAAGGTTTATATTGTTATTGTAATATTGTATTAAAATATTTAACATAAAACACTAATAACTTAAATAATTATAATTGAAGATAGAAAGGAATAAAGACTAGAGAGATAAAATGATTGGAAACAAAACCAAAACCAGCACTAGAATGGAATGCTTTTAATGTTTGTTACATACATTCGCACTAAACTAGGTTACCTAAATACCCTTTGGGTATAGGGTTTAAAGAGCCAAAGGCATTCGCATTGACTATAAATATAAATTAATTATGCAGGTCTCAACAGTTATATTTGAATATTATTTAATTGAAACTAATTACAAATTTAATAATGTCGTTTCTCGTCCTCTTCTTTTGTAGTTTAAGAGTTTGATAAGGGATCCAGATAAACTTAATTTGACAAATTGCCCATCCCTGGCAAACATAAGAAATTCTTCCAGCTGTCACAATTCTCTATCTTTTATCTTAGTGTCTCTCCCTCCCTCTGTCTTTTGGCCTACTCCCATCGCTTTGCGTCACATGTGCCGCATTCGTGTCCTGTGATTAACTGCCGTTTGTAACTTATTCTTGACATTTAATCATATTTATTATTGTGCTGTTGTTTTTGCAAGGACTTTTGGCTCAGAATCTTTAAGATTCAAATCTCAATAGTCCACTCACCACCCTCAGCACAATATTTTGTTTAATTTGAATAAACAATTTAATGGCCTGCCACATTCAATTTGTTTCTCAACATGGTATTTGACATAATATAAAATATAAAACTTTAACTATCTGAAATTTTTGTGAAGCACAATCAGCATAAAACACCAAAAAGCCCATAGGCACTCAAAGTTTACGACATAGATGACCAGCACAAATGTTTGCCTCTTTTTTGTATACTTTTCAATGTACATATACATTTATATCCTTCTCACCATATCCAACATAAAACCTAACGTAAAATGTCTTAATTCATACAAATTTATGTGCAAAATATGCAAAGTCTAAACGGCGGCATTGGTGCGCATTTGTGAAATGTGCCACAGGCACATCACTCATACGCATTGTTGGCGGGCCAAATACGCGGCACCCAGGCACACAGACACCCAGGAATCCGGGCTCCCATGCACCCAGGCGAACGAAGAAATAAACAAACATACATACATACATACATACTTTACTATATAACTGATGTCTCCACTAAAGGCAAAGGCGCACCAAAAAGTTTGTACATAGTTTGTTCAGGCGCCAGTAGAGAATGGAATAGAAGAAAAAATGTGCGATATCTACACTCATACACTAGGCAAGGAAAGTTTGCATATCCAGCTGTGACTTTAAACTACATTTATCAATGAATTTAAAATACCAGCAAAGTTTTTCTCTGTGCATTTTCAAACGATTGCCTCAAAATGGAATTTGAATTTCAGGTACAGCCTTCAAACCGCATAACCGCTTCTTGGCTAGGAATGCGTCAATTACCGGGGATATAAATTTCAGTGGATTAATCGTTGTTGACCAATTTGGAACAAATTAATACTGAGCGGGAGAGATTCCACACAAACATACCTTTATGCTGTAAGGTAATAGTAATTGTGGAGCGAAATAATAAAAGAATCCAATACTTTTTTTTTTTTTTTTTTTTTTTGGAAAAACTGCATAATCAAAGGGCAAATGAAGGAGTTTTAAAAATTGTTGGCATAAGAAATTGGAACATCGATTGAGCACATAGCTTTGCCTGGAATAATACGAAGATTTTTTAAATTATGGAAAAATATACAGAAATATTGGGGTAAGAATTAAGAATCAACGCTTGTTTGAACTCTGAATTTTGGTTGTACATACTATTCATTGAGTATGACAAGACTAGCTGATATAGCCTGCCGGTATGAACGTAGTGGTCTCAAAAAGTGTAAGAGCTAAAAGAACCAAGGGGTATGCAGATTGTTTTAAGTCCGAGGAAGGACGGCGAACATGGTATCACTATGTCACTTGACATTACTTGTAATTGCTCCCCCGCTATTAGTGATTTTCGAGAACTCCCGAAATTCTTAGAATGTCTTCCTCAATGTTGACAATTAGATCCGGCTAGTTATCATGTGTCCTTATACTACGTTTCTTCGTGTATGTTATACATACTATATACTATATAGCAAGAGTCGAGCGGACCCAACGCCTATATACCCACAACTCTTATGTAGCCAGTCACCTCATTTCCCACTTAGCCACTTTCCTGTTTGTCTTTGGTCAGTACTTAGTACGAGTATAGTGCATGGTCTTTCTTGCATTCGTAGTCATAATTCATCCGAATAGTGTAGCAACTTATTTATACATGCCTCCATTAATGGCCGCACAAAGCAAGTGCTCAGCACAGATTTGCATAATAAATGGGCTATGGCTCTTACATACATATATGCATAGCTAGAAATTAGAAGAGCAGCAAAGAGTATGCGTGTGTGTGTAGTGGTTGGGCGCACCTGGGTCCTCTTGCCATTTTAAGATGACAAATACGTAGTGTGCGTCTCTGGCCAAGCAATCGTCGAACCTGCTGCCTGCTACCTCTGTTTGGCTTTGTTCCATCACTACCTCTCTCCCTCCCTCTCCCATTCACCTACTCACTCACTCACTCACTCACTCACCATTAATCACGTGCACCAAGACGCTGGCGCTGCTGGCTGTTGTCGGCTGACACGTGTAATTCCCCGTATCCGTTGTCTGTGCATTGGAGATGCGCAATCTGTCGTTTGATGGCGTGGGCGGTTGCGGGTGAGATTGTGATATGAAATGAAGGGAGCAGTTAGTTTCGAATTAGGTTCCACATCCTGTTCTACTTCTACAAGTATACATACCGCGACTTAAGCGTATCGCCAAGCTGTGATTCCATGGCTATGCGGGTGGCAAAATCCTTTTGGATATCTGTCGTCAGCAACTCGTTCAACGATGTGTCGAATTTGTCAGAGCCGACTGCCGCTTGTTGTTGCTGCTGCTGCGGATGGTTCAGCAGCGGTTCTAGTCCGGTGGTTTCTGGATCGCCATCATCCGCATCGAATGGAGTGATCATGTGCTCTCCTCGATACCAATAAATAGGTCCAATGTCCTTAACCGACGGCTGCTGCACCACACAGTTAAGAATGATGGCGCTGCCTGCTTTAAAGTGCAAATCGTGTGGACCACTTATGATGGCTTTGGCATCGGGAGAGATTTCTGGAAATTGAAGTGACGAACATGTTAAATGTATTTTTTCCAGTAAAAATAAATTGGGTAATAGTAAATACGATGATATTTGAGAGCATTGTGTACCAAAGACGCCACAGGCAAGGGATTATTAGAAGCGAAGCGATTAAGATGCTGCGTTCTGCTCAAGTCCAGGGGAATTTGATATTTACTCGAGGAAAAAATTTCCCAAAAGGGTCCTCTAGGTAAAGTTTAGCCGAGTAGGAAAGTACGGGAGCTCGAAGGTTCGAGACAAGTTTATGTAAAATATATCCAAGGATTTGTTTATAGATCAATAATTTAAATTACAAGGCCGCAGGGAAAGGACACTATACAACATCTCAGTTGAATATGGATCCCCAAATTCTTTAGCTCAACGTTTAATAGAGCCTGTATGGATCCGCCCCTAATTGTGAAAATGTGAAAATTAAGGCTTGAGTTGGCGTCAATAGAATTGGTTCAGAGGAACGTCAAAAACTGAAATATACGCAATTCAGGTTTAGAAGATTATCTAACAATATTTGAAAAGCAAGCTGGAAATGCAATTATGAAATCAAATAATAAATTGAAAGGAAATAAATGTTATAAATACATAATATACAGATGTTGAATAGTGATTTGATATTTCGAGCTATTAGCCCGATTGTAGTAAGCAGTTTAAGAACATAAGTATATATATGTAGGCTTCACATGAAACTCATTTCGCATATTACGTATTCGCAAACAAATTAATTTTGTGCAATCGAATGAGGTAAACAATTTGGAAATGCGCAAAGATTCAATTCACAAATTCACAATTCATGGCATAAGTTTTAAATTACATAAAATGTTGGGCGCACAATTATCTTGGATATACTTGTATGTACACACTCGTATATATGCGTTCGTACATACGATATGTAAGTATATATTGGCGCCACTGTAGGGCCATGTACGAATACGTAGAGCATATGGTAAATGAAAATTCACAAGCATATTTACGTGTGCACAAAACTGGGTTAATAATAATATTTATTATGCATTCGACTGGGCAAATAATAATAATTAAAAAATATAGTAAAAATAAAAATATAAGAGCGTGAGAATGAGCAAAAAAAAGTGAGAAGGCAGCGAACACAAAATGAAAAACAACACAGCGACAGCAAATCAAATAAAAAATTCACCAAGTCTCAGCGGTCATGTCCTCGCTCTTGCGAGGAGGCCTGCGCCTCGACTGGACCATAAAAGTGCATACGATGATGGTTACATGGGCTGCGGACCCAACAACCTCGCTGACATCGTCTGCGGGTCGTGCCGCCGGGGCTGCCATGCCGCCAGTCTCTCTGTCTGTCTATCTGTCTGTCTGTCTGTCTGTTTGCATACACATAGTGTCTGCGGCATATGTTCAATGGGAGTGTGCCGAAGTGTGTCGGAGTGTGCATAAATCCCACCACGCCATTAAGTGCATTTGTTGGTGTGCTTCTATGTGTGCGAGTGTGCGTGAGTCAGTGTGTGAGTGTGTGAGTGTATGAGTGTAATCATATGCAGTGACACTGCGTTAAGGGCAATTAACACCCAAGGCCCCCACACCGAGAACTCACACACTTGCAAAAATGCAACAAACATTTTTATATCTGAGTGTTTTTCAACATTTTTGGACCTTTTTTTTGCTGGCAAGGCTTTGGCGCAAGTTGAGCACATTTGGCTGAATCTGCAGTTGAAGCACATGATATGAAGTTTTTTAATTTAAATATTTAATGAAAATCAAGTGAAATGTTGCATAAAGTGAAAGTGGCGCATATATAGAAATATATATATGTATACGTATATTTATATATTATATACGTTATTATGTATGTACGTCATGCAACTATCAAAGCTGCATGTTATTTTCGTTCTATTTTTTGTGGCATACATTTCATTTATTTTCGTGAGAATAAACAACTATTGAAACCTTAAATAATACTGAATATTTTGAAAATGCATTTAAAATTGTTTTATGAGAGTTAGCTGATCGCAAAAAAGCTATACTAAAGAATGCAGTTGGTTGTACCAATTACTCTGCATCTGAATTTAAACGATTTTCATATTGCATTTTGTGTTCTGGACAGAGATGGGGATTGACTATATATCTATGCTGACATACACTAGTACCACTTTATAAGCGTACAGTGGATCTGCCCCCTTCTTTGTACGGTACGATGTTTTCCCAAATGTTCACTGTTCTTGGCACCGAAATTAAGATCTCTGTATGTATATCGTTTAGACGCCTCATTCTTCAACCTCCACTGATTTCTATCAATGCTGCAAGCAATAAGCAGCAATCGTATGCACACTTCTTATACTGGAAACCATTATTATTTTACCTTAATGGTAGGCTTAGAATAAACAATTCCTTATCTTTTTAAATGATAATTTATAAAAGAAAAAATATTTAAATACATGCAGTTTTGGAACATAGACAATAAAATCTTGAGGCAGTTAAATATTTAAATAATAATTGAAATTTTTAACATATTAATTACGATATATTTAGCATTTCGACAACTTCTGGCCACAAATGACAACCATAGTGCATATCCCCTTCTCTAATGAGCCTTTATTTGATTAATTGTCTTCCATTCACACAAATGTCACCATGGAAGGGAAAAATCCCATCGATCACACTTTCCATATGAGCTTAGTAATTTATGGGCCAAACGCTTTTTACACTCATAAAATTCAAAAAGGGACATTTCCTGGTTTAAATTTGATCTCCTTTCATATATTTTACTCTGCTGTTTTTTACAATCTGTGCGTATGCATATCGCATTCTACTTGTATATAGTACATATGCACATATACAGTTCCTAGGTATTTATGGGCGCCCACGCCACACCAAACCCCAATTTATATGCCGCATAAATCTTATGGAAAAAATGGCGCTCATGAACATTAATTTGCATAATGACATTAATTAAAGGCAATACAGGCAACACAAGTGTCATGCAAGGCGGCAGAGCTAACCGATTTTCGTTTCTCTACGCCAAGTCAACGGCGCAGTTTGAGACAACAGAATCACTCATACGACATGTATGCCGATAATGTCATTAAGAATGCTACAGTAGCTGGCCGGCAGCAGCGCTTTTAAAATTATTTCATTAACGTTAATGAAAATGCATACAATACGGTCATCAGCGGCAACCGTGAAGAAAATGTATTCGGAAATGTGTTGGCAGGATGCGGAATGTAAGAGCAAGCGACAGGAGGAAGTCCGAGGCACAAGTGCATAATCGAAAAGTTAAGGGGGGATTGAAAACTGATTTGCATAAGTGGCTGACAGCAGTTGCCGCAACTTTTCACTCCGCCTCCCCTCTTTTGGCTTTCCTCTACCACGCCCTCTGCAAAAACAGTTAACAATCGATGCATATTGCTTTTTGATAAAAGGATATTGAGGCGCCTTTAGCTCTTAAAATTGTTGGTTCAAATATCTACAGTTTTAAGAAAGACTCAGATATTAATTGCCATCGGTTTTTTGTTTCGAGTCTTAAATGCGTTTTAATTTAAAAATGATTCATGCCAAATGCGTCACGTGCCAATTGTGGTGCCAATAATGGGACAGAATAATATTTACTTAAATTAAAACTATTTTGGGTATACATAAAAGTAAAATAAAATATTAAATATTATTATTGATACGCTTGTTTTAAAAAACGGACGGAACGGAAAATGGAAGTTACTGTAAAAAAATTCACACCTTGTGGAGCTGCGGAAGTAATTACTAAATCATGCTAATATTAAAAAGAGGACAGATTTGATTCATTATTTGTTGGTTTGGATTGGGAACTACTGGACCGATTTAAATAATTCTTTCAATGTTGGGGAGCTAAAATAGCCCGGGCGACATAGGATGTATAAAATTGGGAAAAAATTGGAATCCTTACTAAAATTCGAATAATGTAGCCCTACGTGTAAACAAATAATATAAAAAAAATTCCTTACATCACGTGCGTTGTGAAAAATATTGATGATATAGCAAAATAATGTACTACGAACAAAACACATCATTATCTACAAAAAAAAGTTAGCTAACTATAATTGTTAACTAATTATAATAGTTAACTAACTATAATAGTTAAGTCTCCAAATTTAAGCAGAAATTGTGACATTCTCCTCGATGAGTCCCTCTTAAATTTGAGGACGAAGAAAAATATAATATTACAAGCGCACAACAGAAAATAATTAGTGGAGCTATGCATACTCATGTACTATATATATCCAAGAAATTCGGAATTTATTATATAAGTAATTTAAAACGTCTGCCTAAATCAATATAATTATTATTATTTCCCCATAAAATGGAACTGAGTTGAATTTTTTTAAGTTTTTCTGTTGATCATACTTGTATGCATAAATTATTCTTTTAAAGCAGCGTGCAATATTTAATCAAAATTGTAATTTTTTGGCCTTTGGGAAAAGCTACGTACGACCTTGTACATAGTATGTTTATTCACTGTATGTGTTGGTAAGTTGAACATAAATCGTTGTTTAAAACAATGTAAAAATTGAAATTCCACTTTTAAATCTGCTGATAGTAAATTGTCTCGGCAAAACATTGATATTAGGAGTACCATATTGTGAGTTTCAGTCTTTTTTCGCCAATGGGTTACCTCGTCAAGCGATTTAAATGTGCTCGTACCTAACAATATCCTTCATTTAGATGTACATCGTCATCTTAAACCATCTACAATACCATGTTGTGCATTTTAATTACACGTGTTATTATTCATGATTCATTATAGCTTCCCAATCATCCAGGAATGTCCCCTGATACTTGGCGTTCTAATTAGTCGAGCGGTAAGAAGGCTTAGGAGTGTAACAGTTGCAAAAATTTAAAGTTGCATGTACGAGTATTGTGGCATCAAATTAAAATGAAATAGCCAAATCTGCTTTTGAGGGCGTTGCTTGTTCAGTTATTTATGACCCGAAAATGTGAAATTAAAAATGAATGCCTACAGATATTTCCCAAAATGCGCAACTGCTCCTGGGCACACCTGCAAAATAATCATAATTGCTAGCTGCTGGCTGCAAAATGAATGAAATGAGCGGCAACAACATAACTGAATAAACAACTAAATAACAGACAAACAACTGATAGTCAGAAAACCGTGGGGAAGCAAAGTGTATACATAAGTATAAGCTTGATCAGTTAGACGTAACAAGTCGACGCGATATATCCAAGTCCGTGTGTCTGCTTGAACGCAAGGATCTAGAAAAGTAAGAAAAGCTAGAATCACGAACTCTGCTATTCATATATTTTTATTCATATGTTTTTTCCTTCTTTGGTTTAATAGTGTCTCGCATACATAAGAATATACACCAACCCGATAAGAGTTTATGGAATTGAAAGCGTACATACTTGTATATACTTAGTTATTATTTGTGCTTAGTTAATCTTTTTAAATTCATAAATTTACTCTTATTTTAAAGTTAAATACAGCACTCAATTGTTGTTCACCTCCTACTCACCAATGATATTGAGTTGAAATGCCATCGACATTTTGGGCTCCGTATTCACTTGGCACTCGTAGATGCCGCTGTCCCGTGTCTGCGGCGCCTTCACATGCAGCGTCCATTCGCGAGCATCCTTCGATTCCGTTACCTGTTGGGGCGAGATGTGTGTTTCAATAATTGTTTAATATTTTGTATCCCACTGAGCGAAATTTTCATTGCAGCTGTGCTGCATAAAACTAAAAAATTATAAAATATTTGTAGCATAACTCTATAAAGTATATATACATTCTTGATGGGGATAACGAAACGAGACGAGAAATCAGACAATTACACAGAGTAAGTACTAATGTGTTCCTATGTTAAGTTTCATTAAAGGATAGTTATAAAGCTGAAACACTTTCTGCTTTAAACTAACTCTGTCCTACACACAAACCGCATTTGTGTCAATGCATAAAAATAGACAATCCCGGTGTAAATTAATGATTATGAATGAATGATACAGATAGTTTATGTGTCTCTAAATATGTTTTCTATACGTATATTTGTAGATGCCTACTATTAATTTAATTGAAACAAATAATTATTTTTGAGCCCGTTCGACCCTTCCATTTCTATTCAAAAAAATACTTTTTCATGTTTGGTGTCTGTATTCCGAATATCTTGTGCATCATTTAAGCCAAAATTTTGAAACTTAAAATGCTTTTATAAATTAATGTATTACCCGATAATGGTAAAGGGTATTTTACTGTCGAGCTTTCTCGATTGTAGCGTTTTCTCTTGTTATTTAATATTTCAGGTTTTAAATATTTCCCTAGCTCCACACAAAAGCATATGTAAGTCGGGAATATTAATTAAAGCTGCTATATCTTTTGACTTAATAAAATCACATAGTGTCCAGGTATAAAGTTTGTATGGCAGACTTGTAATCAAGGATATAGTACATACCTGAAAACGTTTGTCAGACGTGTAGGTGGCGGTCCCGACAGTCAGTATATGTAGATCGCGTTTGCGTATCCAGGATACCTGTTGGTGCGACCAAAAAAAACTGATTAACGATTGGGCTTCAATGTGAGACACTTAACAAGGACACACACTCAGGAATACCCTCGCAGTTAGTGTGCATCTAAAAACAAAGAATCGAAACATTTAAATAAATTTGGGGATTTATTTTTATTTTTGAAAATATCTTCTTCAATTTCTTCTCCTCAATTAAATTATATCTTGAATAGAAACAATAAAAATTATATGCATAATTAATATATAAACATGCTTGGGCAAACGATCTATAAATTTCAGTACATTTTGCTCAAACATTTCTCATTGCGTTTTCCAACCACACTCCACAACTCTTCTTCCACACACATGTACATACACGAATACACACATCCAAGCAAATCTACCACTACTGCCGAGACTCACCGATTTATCATGCAGACTATCCACACGGCATTTAATGATGGCCTCTGTGTGCCCAGTTCGTCCTGTGATGTTGCGCGGCATGCCAAAGTCAAAAATTGGCAAGGACTGGGAGAACTCTGTTTCCGTTGCCTGCGGGGCCACAACAAAGCCACCATCGTCGGGAGCCAGGAAGGCTAAGCTCTTGAAAGTGTGATTCGTGGTTTCCGTTTGCGGTTGAGTCTGCGGTTGTGGCAGCGAAGGCATTCGAGGCGGCACGTCATCTGCGTTGAAGTTTTCCGGCCGCGTCGCTGAGTTGTAGCTGTAGTTGTTCTCGTTGTTGTTTTTGTGTCTGTTGTTGTTTTTGTTGTTGCTATAGTAGTACGGTTTGTCTGCTGCTTTCGTCGACGTCGTCACCGTAGTCGCCGTCGCCGTCGTCGTCGCTGCTGCCACCGCAGCACCAATGCCTGCAATGAAAATAGGAGAAATGCGTAGAATAGGAGTGGGTCCCATCATCTTTCATCATTGTTGCGGCATGCCGCATTTTTCTTCAGTTTACACTCCTGTCCTGCCTCCTCTTCCCTATCAACTCTGGTGGTATGTTGTGACTCACGCAATTTGAAATGAATTTAAAACTGAATTTAAAACCCATTGCTTTCTTTCCTTCCTTTGATTCATCTTATTTACTTTTTGATTTGTGCGAAAATAAAATATTCAACTGAGCCTAGACTTGCAACGGGGCCATAGTGGCTGACACGCTACTGAGTGTGGCAGATATTAGAGATGATATGGAGTATTTCTCCAATTAAGGTGAAAGATAATTTGCCTCCTTTTTTATGACTTAAGGCTAAACAAAAAATAATTATCAACCTGCCAAAATATTCAATTGCCCATTTCATTTGTAATTTATTGTTATATTTTCGGAAAATGTTTTTAATTCTTATTATTCATGACTTTGATTTTATAGATCATTCTATAGATTATAGATCATCTTTTAAAGTAATGTGGTTATACTAATGTATAATTAATATAATGTTCTTTAGGTTTAGTCAAAATTATAATATAATAAATAAATATAAAATTAAATTATAAATGTAATTAGATAACACTTAACCCAATTAGATCACATTATATAATACAAGTATTTAAAAGATATGTTGATATCGATTTAAATAATTAATGACTAGCGTATATACATATATTAATTTAAAAGTAACGCTATGATAAATATTATGCTAAAGTCGAGCATGCTCAGCTCTTAAATACCCTGTACCACCCCTCAAAAAACAAAAAAAGATCAGAATCGTGTCTATGCGTGTTTGTACATATGATAGACCTATCATAATGAAACTTGGCCACACAATCACTAACTGGATGTGACTATCAAATTTCGAAATTCCAAGAATTCCAGACGGACAGACAGACAGACGGACATGCCTATATCGACTCATCTTGTCACCCTGGTCAAGAATATATATACTTTGTGGGGTCTGCCACGCCTCCTTATGTGTGCTACATGTACACTCTCGCACAAAACTAATATACCCTTTTACCCTTACAGGGGGGTACAGGGTATAAATAAATACAAATAAGGGTAAAATGTATTAATATGAAATAATCAGATTGGTGACTTTGTAGATATAATCTAAATATTTGCTATGTAAATATAATATTATAAACAAACAATCAAAAATCTGAAAATATTCTCGGTATCAGCACGAGTTCAAATAATATTTCATAACACTATGGAATGTTGCAGAGCAGGATGAATGCCTTCACAATGCCTTTATGGAGATAAGCCTGAGTGATTGCAAATGTGTTCGTATTTCATGATATACAAATGATATGTGAAAAAAAGAAAACACAATAATCATTAATATTATATCAAAGAAAGAACTTATGCTAAGTGCGCGCATGCAAGCGCTTTTATCTCAAGTTCTTATACTGCCAATGCTAGCAGACTAACTCCTCTACTTATATTATGCGCCAGCTCCAAAAAAGACTATGCTGCACTTTAATAAAACACTGATTAAATGTGACCACTACTCTTCACTCCTTCAGTCCTTCGATTGCAATTAATTCATGCCACAATTTAAATTGCATGCAGTATGGATCATGGGAGCTCTTGCAGTTCTTCTTCTGCCCGCAGCTGCACTCAACGTCCAGTCGACGCTGCATTCAGCATCGCCTTCTGTATAAATGGTATATACAAATGCATTGTAAATTTTTTTGTTTTAGCAATTTGCATTTATGAACAATTTCATTTTATTTGCTTTGGCGCCCGTGTTGATGCAAAATACTCTCTTTTTTTGCATATCAATTTAGTAATATAAAAAAGGCAATATCAGAAAGGAGGCAGTCACACTTTAATGCCATCGCGCGCGTCAAATTCAATTTCGAAATAATAAAAATGCGCGACAAAAAACAAACAGAGTTAACAGCAAGGAAAATGTCAACCAAGACTGTGGAAACAGGGAAAAATAAAATAAAAACCAAAATCGCACATGGGGGCCGCCGAGTACAGCAACAGTTAGCTGGAAAAAATAAAAACAAAAATAATGTGTACGCCATGAAAACAAAAGCAAAGTGCAAATATTTGCGAATATGGCAAAAATTATTTTTAAATTCAAATCAACACAAATTTTTTCGCCATTATTTCCCATTGCTTCCCATCGCCCCCACCAGTGCATTTATTCTTTTACTGTTTTCTTGTTTTGGCTTAAAGTCACAAAAAAACTGTTCGCACCATTTTTGAGCACTTCCCCATGAACCTATGGGTGACCTAGTTAGCAATACCCAACTGAGCGGGAACCCTGCGAGCCACTGAACCACCAAGCCACCATGCCATCACCGCACTACCCGGACAGCCAGCCAATGAGGTCATGAAAATGCTGTGCCTGTCGCTTGAGCACACAAGCAGAAACAGCTGTAAAATAAAGTAGCAATTTTGTATTTTATTGTTTTCCTTTCTGCCCCCAACTTTGCTGCAGACACAAAGCAAATAAAACGGAAGTTAAAAGCAATGCCGATCACTGGTACGTATGAGTGATTTTTCTTGCGGTCACACACCAATGAACTGCCAGACAGGGCGTCAAATTGCACTTAGTAGCGCCCACACAGACGCACACATACAGACGCACACATACAGACGCACACATACACGTATACTATTGGATGTACTATATTAGGGGCCCGCACGGATAAAGTAAAGATACTTTGACTGAGCTCATTAATAAAAACAAGTAAAAAAGCTAAGGTCGGGTGTCCCGACTTTGAAATACTCTGTACATATGCTTACAATAATTATAGAAAATAAAAAAAATTAAGATTAAGATTAAAATTAAGAATTAAACAAACTCATATAGAATACACACATAAGGCATCTTTGTGCAAAAAAAATCAAGAATATATATACTTTGTGGGGTCTGCCACGCCTCCTTCTGCCTGTTACTTTTTCAGCTCCCGCAAACCTAATATACTTCTGTAAATTTGATGTACAGAGTATAATGAGCGAGTCTAGACAAATCTAGCTATGATTGGAGAAGTGTGATCTGTTTTATTTTTTGACACGATATTATTCGACTTATACATCTTTAACACTAACTAGTAGAAGGAGGTTTGTACATAGTGAGCAGAAAGACGCCATTTGTCCATTCTTTATTGTGAACAGCAAGGATGTGTGAACCAATACTGCTAGGGACACCAAACCTGGTAAGCAGACTTGTCTCATATATGCTTAGAAAAGTGTATTAAGCATGTTTGGTATTGGTATTGCGTTTTGAATAATGCCGTTTTTTAAAACTGGGGCCGCTTTTCTATATCATGTAGCTTCAATACCAATAATTGGCACAACTAAGTTTATTTTAGTTGGAAAGGCTGTAGCGGCGAAAAGCGTGGGAACAGTGTATTTAAGAGTCCGGTTGATTTTCTAACTTTTTCCTTTCTTAAAATGCGTAGCAACATTTTCAGATTTTCATTAATGGCCGGAATATGTATGTGAGATCATACTATGTTGTAAGTATTTGAATAATTTTCTATCAATTCAAGTTTTGTGAGTATTGCTAAGCTTACAGGAAATCTGTTAATGTTTGGCAATAAATAAATAATATTTTATTTGTAGTTATGTTTATATCAGAAGTGGAATGAAGGTGCGGTTTAAGATACCAAACACTCCCTCATTTTGCAGCTGGTGGGCTAACCAGACTTGGTATCCGACCTATGCTCTTATGAGGTCGACAGAGGTAATGGGTGGGACAGGCCTTACCACATTTGGAAATTATATCGAATTATACAAGTACATGCATATATACATATATACATATACTATAAGCTCAAATGTTGCACATCAGTCGGGAAAAAGGTTCAGAATTTCCTTTCCTTTTAGTTTTTGTTTGCATTTGTTTGTTATATTACGCTAATCTCTTTAGAAATTTAAAATTCCCTTTGCTGTGGTGGAGCTTATTGTTATTGTAGGAATTAAATTACTTGCTTGTGAGACATGGATAAGGTCAAATGTGATGCATGGTCCTCAGATGGCAAAAGTATTTGAAAAAAAATATGAAAACGCGGCAAAATAAATAGAATAGATTGTGTGCGTTGCAGTAATTTATTAAATAAAAGCAAATGCAATGAAATTGTGGCCACTGCAACCACAAATGTATTGTATTTTTTTGTCGATACTGCTCTGTCTGTAACGAATAGTTTAAAAGTATGTGTTATTATACGAGTAAATGCTGGGCCGATACATTTAGTAGTGAAGAAATTATAGAAAATTAAAAAATATGAGTTGGCTTGATATACATATATACAAAAAGACAGGAATATATATGGTCAGTCGTTAACTGAAAAAACTATATAAGATGAATGATGAGAATATTTATAAAAGCAAATAAAACTATATGTGTATTTTACAATGAATCCGACTAATAAATTATCAGGGAAAAATATTAAGAAGACAGTTAAACAAAAGGAGAAAAGATGGCAAGTGTGGAACGTTTTACAATACATTCTCAACCCATGAATCTACTGTCTTTAGATATTATCTCAACCATTTTGCAGCTAGACTCTGAATTTCAAATAAAGACCACATTCAATCCAAGAATTATACAACTTTTATAAAATCGACACACGTTCCACAGTTCAAAGCATAACTACAACAAGCTGACATTGCAAAGTTAAATTCAGTCTACTATTGAAGCAGAAGAAACAAGAGGACATTTAAATTTGCAAAGAGGAAACAAATAAATAACAAACGCTGTTGCGATACAGAGGGGCGCCCGACTCTTACCCCAACTATGCCTCCACATACACCCATGTGTAGTGAGATGTCCCCCGTGCGTCAAAAGG